CGCTCAACCGATTGAGCCACCCAGTGGCCCCCCAAATTTTCCATTCTGGTAAGTGACGTTGAGTAACGGGGGACGCCAGGCCTGTGCGGCAGCAGAGTCCACAGACGGTGTCTGTACCTTCCTCTCTATTTTGTTGTAAGCCTAAAACTCCTCTAAAAAAAAAAAATAGTCTTAATCGGCACATCCGCCGCCGTGAGAATGTATTCAAAGGATGGCTGGTCACAGCTGGGTAAATCTCACAGCCGTTCAGTTCGGGCCGCCTCCTCCTGTGTTTGACTTGAACTCCAAATGTACCTGGCTGAAGCCTCCCACATGTGGTGCTCATTTAGACCAGCAGCCTTCGTCCCCCTGCCACACACATCCTTTGCTTAGTGCGTCTTTGTGCTGTCTTCCGGTTTTGCAGCATCGAGATTCCAAAACAGGGGAACAGGTTTTCTCCTGGGTTGCAAACTGGGTGAAAAAAGGATGAATTCCAAGGTGCCTTCCTAAAACATTAGCTGCCATACGAATAGATGAGGGTGCACAAGAATTCCGGGGAAAATTTAGCAACCTAAATAAGCAATTTGCCAACTAGACGGCATTTCATTCACATTCGACTGCCCGGTAGTAGGAGAGTATGAAAAAAAAAAAAATATTTCAGAGCACTGGGCAGGTGGGGGTAGGAGATGGGTGGCACATTAACGCCTGATACTACCTTTGCATGAGGTGGGTCCCCCCAGAATTAGCTCATTCCTTACCTTTACACATTTAACTTTGTATTTATCCTCCTCACAAAATCGTTTGGAACACAAATCCAGGCTGGTAGCCAAAACCTCCTAACTCTTTCCAGCTTCCTCTTCCTGTATGGAATGACACCATGGACAACCCCAGGGGTTGCTCGGCATTGCTGAGTTCGTTCATCCTGCGGGGTCCGTCCAAGGGAAAACCAATAGCGACTTGTGAATTCTAAGGAAAAACCGAAACAATCTTTACAGGTCCCACAGTTCCTGCCGATCCTTAGAAGCAATGATAAAAGTAGGTTGTTAAACTTGGAAACAATAGAAAACTTCCTGGAAATTAACAAACTGCCTTCGGCAAAAGACTCTCTGTACCCAGGGCGCACAGATTTTGCAATAAATCAATGTAGGAGACTTAACTCCAGGATATCACCTTCAGCCAAATTGCTGCTGGTGTTCTGGAAAATGTAAACAACCTTAAGGCACAACCATTGTGACCTCATCTTTTTACTGCCTTTTTTTGATTCTTCCTACCCTCGATTTCTCTTCATTAAAAACAAAACAAAATTTTTAAAGAGAGTATTTTGTATTCTAAAAATTGAAGTAAGACATCTCAGCTGTGTTTTGGAAAAATGTAGGTCGGGAAGAGGAAGGAAGGAGAGAAGGAGAAGATTTATTCTCTCATGAGAGACCACAGTTCTGTTCCAGAACATGTGGGAAATTCTGTATGAAGCTCTGGGTAAGTAAAAATAGGATGGCTTTCTCAGATTTCAAACTTGACCACAAATCTATGGTAATCAAAACAGTATGGTACTAGCACAAAAATAGACACAGAGATCACTGGAACAAGATATAGGCCCCAGAAATAAACGCACATTTACATGGTCAATTAATCTATAACAAAGGAGGCAAGAATCTACAATGGGGAAAAGACCGTCTCTTCAATCAATGGTGCTGGGAAAACCAGACAGCCACATGCCAAAGAATGCATCTGGACCACTTTCTTACACCATACACAAAAATAAATTCAAAATGAAATAAAGAAAGAAATAAACAAACAAACAAACAAACTCAAGATGGATTAAAGACTTAAATGTAAGACCTGAAACCCATGGGGTGCCTGGGTGGCTCAGTCGGTTAAGTGTCCGACTTCGCCTCAGGTCCTGAACTCACAGTTTGTGCGTTCGAGCCCCGCATCGGGCTTTGCGCTGACAGCTCAGAGCCTGGAGCATGCTTCAGATTCTGTGTCTCCCTCTCTCTGCCCCATTCACTCTCTCTCTCTCAAAAATAAATAAACATAAAAAATCTTAACAAAAATAATAAAAGACCTGAAACCATAAAACTCTTCAAAGAAAACCTAGGCAGTAAACTCTTAAACATCATAATATTTGTTAGTAAAATTTATTAACAATTTTTTTCTGAATCTGTCTTCCCAGGCAAGGGGAACACAGGCAAGAGTAAATAAGTGAAACCACATTGCACTAAAAAGCTTTTGCACAGCAAAGGAAACTATCGACAAAACAAAAAGACAACCTACTGAATGGAAGATATTTGCAAATGATATATCTGATAAGGGGTTAAAACACCAAATATATAAAGAACTCCTACAACTTAACAACAACAAAAAAATCTGATGACAAAATGGGCAGAGGACTTGAATACAATTTTCTAAGGAAGACATACAGATGGCCTACAGTCACATGAAAAGATATTCAGCATTATTATGCATCAGGGAAATACAGATCAAAACCACAATGAGCTATCTACCCTTAGACGGGTCAGAATGACTGGTGTCAAAGAGACAAGAAAGGACAGATGTTGGTGAGGCTGTGGAAAAAATAGTGCGCCATTGGTAGAAACGCAAACTGGGGGGCGCCTGGGTGGCGCAGTCGGTTAAGCGTCCGACTTCAGCCAGGTCACGATCTCGCGGTCCGGGAGTTCGAGCCCCGCGTCAGGCTCTGGGCTGATGGCTTGGAGCCTGGAGCCTGTTTCCGATTCTGTGTCTCCCTCTCTCTCTGCCCCTCCCCCATTCATGCTCTGTCTCTCTCTGTCCCAAAAATAAATAAAAACGTTGAAAAAAAAATTTAAAAAAAAAAAGAAACGCAAACTGGGGCATCTACTATGGAAAACAGCAGGGAGATTCATCAAAAAATTAAAAACAAATACCCTATGATCCGGTAATTCCACTTCCCGGTATTTATTCAAAGAAAAGGAAAACGCTAAAGTGAAAAGATGCATGCATTCTATGTTTATCACAGCATCATTTACAGTAGCCAAAATATGAAAGCAGCCCGTGTCCATCGAGAGACGAATAGATAAAGAGGCGATGTGTCTATACAATGGAATGTGACTCCTCCGTAAAAACGAATGAAACCTTGCCATTCATGGCAACACGGACGGACCTTGAGGGTACTATGCTGAGTGAAAGAAGTCAGACGGGGGAAGACAACCACCATATGATTTCACTGTACGTGGCATCTAAAGCAAAATAAACACACAAACCAGCCGACTTACAAATACAGAGAACAAACGGGTGGCCGCCAGAGGTCAGGGAGGTGGGAGGATGGGCGAAATCGGGAATTAGGAGGTACAAACGTCCAGTTGTAAAATAAGTAAGTCACAGGGATGAAATGTGCAGCATAGGGAATAGAGTCAATAATATTGTGATCACTGTGCACGATGACAGATGGTAACGATACTTAATGTGCTGAGCACTGCGTAACGTACATATTTGTTGAATCACTGTTGTGCCCCCGAAACTAATATTTTATGTCAACTCTACTTCAATTTAGAACTTAAAATTATTAAATGGCTTTGAATTTATATCACTACAGGCAGCCCCCAACCTGAGAAGCAGTTGGGTAATAACGGTTGGTTCTCTAATCTGTTGTTCAGAGCTTAGAATTCTTTTTTTCCGTAGAAACGTCATAGATGACTGAGTTCACAGATCAGACACGAAGAGCTGACTTACCTCCATGGTGTCTGCGAAGCGTAGGACTTGTGGGTCTGCCTCAAATTCAACTAACCACTCTTCACCGTGTTCTTCTGATGGGAAGACTTATATCAAGTTCCGACTCACAATTACAGGCATAGATAGTCCAGCCCCCCCCGGCGGCCCCCCCCCCCACCATCTACCTCCCTGCTCGTTTTGAAATTCTCGGCAAAAACACCAGGACCTTCCTAATGGAATGAATGAGAATTCAGGTCTCTTGTCTCCAAACCCTTTCCAGAAGTTATCCCTCAAGATCTGCATAAAAGGTGATGCGTGGGTCAGTCATTCTTGAGGTCTCTGAATTAGGAGAGCGGAGTATTACCTGCCACCCACCCCCCCAAAAAAAACCCTGTAGATTCAGACCTCCTCTACTTGATGGGTCATAAGGTGTTAAGACAGATAGTATGACTGAAAGAGCACTGAACTGTGGGTCAACAAACCTGAATTCGAATCTTGACTTGACCATTACCTATGTGACCTCGAACGAATGTCTTGACATTCCCTGGGCCTTAGTTTTCATTTACTTAAAAAATATTAAATAAATAGCACATCCAATTTTTGAAAAGACAGTTTTTAGCTTTCATGAGAATTTCAACAGAATCTAGCACCACCAACTAATTAAGAGCTGGAAAAAATGATATTCTTTTAGCCCTGGCCTTTTAAAAAAAAAATGTTTTTTTTTAATGTTTATTTATTTTCAAGAGGTGGGGAGAAGCAGAGAGAGAGGGAGACAGAATCCGAACAGGCTCCAGGCTCTGAGCCGTCAGCACAGAACCCCATGCGGGTCTCGAACCCACGAACCGTGAGATCATGACCTGAGCCACCGGCCACCCCAGCCCTGGCATTTAAATTCGAAGTCTGGTGGTTTTTAGTTAGAAACTGCCTCATAACGATTTCCTCACCAACTGAGTATTGGGACCTCCAAGTCCTCTGGTATCATTCTCCTCCTCTATCCTAGTTAAGTAAGCAGAAGGACAAATAAAAGCTTTATAGCCTTTCTACACGATTTCTTATTCTCTGAAAATCCTTCCTTTTGTGGTCATAAAACAGCTATCACTTCCAAATCCCCAACGTCCAAATGCGAGTTTTTACACTGAGTGGACTAATTGGGTAATTTCTAGGTTTTTCCTTGGTGACTTGCACACTCTTTTCTCCCCCATCTCTTCAATCAACTCCCCCTTCTACTTCAATTCGCTTGGCGTATTCCTTGCTCCGAAGTGTGTTGAATCCAACACAGAGGTAGATATCGAAGATCAGCCTCACAACTTAGAATCATTTTTTTTTTCTTTCAGGAAAAGGACCGTTGAACTGTTTATCTTGTGTGTGGAGTTACCACCTAGCGGGAGGAATCTGCACCTCAGACTGTCTGGTGGGAGAATACAGAGTGAAAGAGGTACTGGGAGCTGGGCATGATGTGCCCTGGCCATTTCTTTCTTCTTTTTTTTTTTTTTATAAAATTTTTTTTTTTTATAAATTTTTTTTTCAACGTTTATTTATTTTTGGGTCAGAGAGAGACAGAGCATGAACGGGGGAGGGGCAGAGAGAGAGGGAGACACAGAATCGGAAACAGGCTCCAGGCTCTGAGCCATCAGCCCAGAGCCCGACGCGGGGCTCGAACTCCCGGACCGCGAGATCGTGACCTGGCTGAAGTCGGACGCTTAACTGACTGTGCCACCCAGGCGCCCCTCTTTTTTTTTTTTTTTTTAACGTTTATTGATTTTGAGAGAGAGAGACAGACAGACCAAGTGCTAGCAAGGAAAGGGCAGAGAGACAGGGAGACAAAGAATCCGAAGCAGGCTCCAGGCTCCGAGCTGTCAGCACGCGGCCCGACGCGGGGCTCAAACTCAAGAACCGCGAGATCATGACCTGAGCTGACGTCGGCCGCTTAACTGACTGAGCCCCATGGCCCTAGCCATTTCTGCAGAGGCATGGGAGCCAGTTTCCGCGTGTATTCTGGGCAAAGTCAAAAAGTCCTAAAATTCCTACACTCGCTCTACTTTTTAAATCTTCTACCAATGCATCATGGAATAATGGTGCTACCTACCTGCAGCCTTAACTTCAATCAAAGGGACTGAGATGACCTGAGATAAATAAGGGGGAAGTTAGGTAATGAGGACCTCAGATTTAACTCTACGTTCATTGCTTGTGACCTTGGAAGTTTCAGGTCCCCTTATATCAGAAATAAGTATCTTCTCTCCTACCCCTCTGCTGTCTAACCTGAAATGCCTGAATAATGTCACAACTACAAAACTGCTGCTTTTCCTTTCCTCCACCCCACCACAGTGTAGTGAGAGAGAGAGATTTCAGGGCACCCAGGTGGCTCAGTCCGTTCAGTGTCCGACTTCGGCCCAGGTCATGATCTCACCGTTCCCGAGTTCGAGCCTTGAGTCAGGTTCTGTGCTGACAGCTCAGAGCCTGGAGCCTGCTTTGGATTCTGTGTCTCCCCGTCTCTCTGTTTCTTCCTCTCTCTATCTCAAAAATAAATAATTTTTAAAAGAGAGAGAGAGAGAGAGAGATTTCATTTCCTTGCTTAGAAATCCTGGATATTCTGAGTTCCCTAACTTCTTATGTTTCCAAACGTTACAAATTAAGTAAATCTTGGGGCACCTGGCTGTCTCAGTCAGAGTCCCACTCTGGGTTTCAGCTCAAGTCATGATCTCATGGTTTGGGAGATCGAGCCCCGAGTCGGGCTCTGTGCTGATGGTGTGGAGCCTGCTTGGGATTCTCTCTCTCTCTCTCTCTCTCTCTCTCTGCACCTCCCTGCTTGTGTGCGTGCTCTCTCTCTCTCAAAATAAATGAATAAACTTAAAAACAAATGAAATTAGGTAAATCTCCCCCATGGTGAAATTAACATGACTCGACATATTCACATAGGAGCTCTCTTTTAATCCTTAAACTTTGAAGAAACTGGGGCTCCAAGAGACTGAATAATTTTCTAAAGATCATATAAATAGTAAATAACAAAGCTGGGACTGACTCCAGGACTTCGGACAGCTAATCCGTGATTTGATAAGATAGTAACAGCTGAGAAAGCGCCTTATCAGCACCGGAAATGGCCAAAGTGCTCAACAAAGGCAATTTCCATTCCTTCTTTCCCACAGCACACAAGGAAAATATAAAGATATCTTCCCTCATCTACATTTTCAGCACCAGCAAAGAAGCAACCTGTCAGGAGGGAAGCCACTTTCTCCTTATCTCTTGATTCTTCTCATGGAGATTTAACTATTTCAGCTAAAGAGTCACAAATAATATTCGGGGGCAGGGCCAAAAAAATCTAGTAACCATGGAGGCCAAGTAGCTGAATGTGTATGAGCGAAGGGTGTTGGGTCAAAGGAAACCCCAGCGCAAGCTTGATGAAAAGTGGAATTTGACATATTTGACATGTCACCTGTCTTGGTGACATCAGAGCAAGCGCTGGGGTCGTGTCAACTAGGAGAGCCCAAAAAGGGAGCCACTGCCCCTCAGCTGTCTGTGATGTTGCCACGTGGTTGTGATGACCTTGTTGACCGTCTAGTGCCTCTTTTTTTGAGAGAGAGAGCATGTGTGTGCATGCGTGTGTGCGAGCAGAAAAGGGGCAGAGCGAGAAGGAGAGACAGCATCTCAAGCAGGGTCCACACAGCCAGTGCAGGGCCCAGTGCGGGGCTCAATCTCACCACCGTGAGATCATGACCTTGAGATCGCAACCTGCGCCAAAATCAAGAGGGGGATGTTCAACCGACTGGGCCACCCAGGTGCCCCTGACAGTCTAGCTCTTAAAGAGAAATTAGAAACTGACTTACAAGTGGAATATCTTCATTTTGAACGTGGGCAAGGAACGGAAAAAAAATTTTTTAACTGTGAAGGTCAATTTGGATGAGCCAGACAAAATGTGTCCTTGACCAGGTACAGCACATGAGCCACCAGTGTGCAACTCGAGCTGTTCTAGAAGCCTGTTCTCCCACTGTTGTGGCCAGCAGATCTCAGATGGAAAGACCCAGCAGCGATTTCCTCCACGTGCAGTCGGTTCTGCCTTCCACCCTGAACAGCTAAAATGGACCCAGAGCAAAGCTATCTGGCTCCTGTCCCCCACGTGCCTCCCTCCGTCAATGGAGGCAAGATAGAACTCCCACCTGGAAACTCCAGTAGCTTGTCAATGCCTCCACACTCAGAAAGAATCTCCCAATTGTTCTTAACAGGGGGAGAAGTTTAACTGTGAAAAATGCCACGAAAGCTGCGTGGAATGCAAGGGACCCGGCACCAAGAACTGCACTGTGTGCCCCGCCGACCTGGTGCTGCTTATGGATGACAGTCGTTGTCTACACTGCTGCAATACTTCTGACCCCTCCGATGCCCAGGAGTGCTGTGACTGCCGGGACACCACAGGTGAGGGGAGAGGAAGAGCAGCCTGCAGAGGAAGGGCCTGTCCACCAGAAGCAGATGGGAACAGAGGGGAGAGGAGGACGGAAAGTTCTGGAGAATCAACAGAGCTCCCTTTTATTGAGTGCCTGCTGTGTGCTTAGTGTACCTAGAACTTTCTGTCCATCAACTCATATAAACAGGTTTTTGGTTTTTTTTTTAAGTAATCTCTACACCCAACGTGGAGCTCAAACTCACAACCCTGAGATCAAGAGTCACATGCTCCACCCACTGAACCAGCCAGGCGCCCCTCTGCGTAGATGTTATCAATCCCCTTTTGCAGATGAGGAAGGAGACCAAGGCTCAAAGGGTTTGATCAGCATGCCCAAGTCCATAGCAATGTTAAGGGTTCGTCTGGAATTAGAATATAGATTCCTTGGACTACAAAGCCTGCGTTCTTTAAAAAAAAATTTTTTTTTTGAGTTTATTTATTTGAGGAAACAGAGCACATGCAGGAGAGGGGCCAAGAGAGGGGGAGAGAATCCCAAGCAGGCTCCAGGCTCCAAGCTGTCAGAGCAGAGCCTGATGCAGGGTTCAGTCTCACGAACCATGAGATCGTGACCTGAGCCAAAATCAAGAACCAGACGTTCGATGGACTGAGTCACCCAGGTGACCCTGCAAAGCCTGCCTTCTTTCCACTGCTATGCTGCCTCTGAGATGAGAATTCAAGTCAGTCTAGAATCTCACCTCTTCTTTTTTTTTCCTTTCTTTCTTTCTTTTTTTTTTCTAGAACCTCATCTTTATAAATTTTTTTTCTTCTTCTTTCTTATTCTTCCCTCCCAGGGAAAAGGAAAGGAATCAACTCTCAAAGAAGCTAATGGCAATATTATTTTTAATCATTCTATGGAAGTTAGCCAACATCTAGGGCTCCCCTTAGAGACTTAAGGCATTTTAGACATGAACTTTCATCAAAGGCTAAAAAGAAACAAAACCCCTTTTACCAATTCCCAGGCCCCCAACTGGCTTCTACCCCCAACCCCATCCATATGGGTACTTGGTCTTCACTGACCACAAACTTAGATCCCAAATGGAGTAATCCCTAAATAAACACACACACACACACACACACACACACACACACACACACACACAAATATATATGATATATATTCTTAAAATATATTCTCTAGTCCAGAAGCAGATCATTTCCTTGGGGATCAGATGTATCACTGTCTGACAAAGAGACATCATATTTATGTGAGCCTGTCCATGTATAAGTGAAGTAAATCCCAGACCCATAACTGCTACTAGCTATTTCCTTTTTATTGTTCATTAGCCTTTGCAATTCAATTCTAAACATCTTTCCAAAAACTAACCATTCCCTTCTTTTAGCTTTCCTATCCCCACAAACGGCTGATTTCCCCATCTCCTCAGCCATATCCATCTCAGGGTCTGATTGCCTAATATCCAGGCTATGTCAGCTAAGAATAGTAACCCTCATTATATCGATGGCTTTAAATGAAACCAGAAGTGTGTACATGTTGGGTGCAGAGTTTCTCCAAGCCTGTTCCAACTGAGAACTATTTAGTCAGCTTTCCTGGGCCTCCTGTGACACCTGAAGATCCACATGGAACAAACCTGAACAGTCTATATACTCTTGATTATCTGCTCATTTCTTCCTGAGACTCTCTGCTCCTTCCATGAAACCAGATCACAGAGGCTGACCCTAACTCTGCAGACCTAAGCCTAGAGAACAGCGAGAAGACATGATTGCATATGGCGCCCTAGTAATTGAAACGATCTTGAAACATCTTTTATTGATTCTCCTGCTTTGGGCAGTATTTACCTCCAAACACCACACATAGGCAGTTTACCCATCCCTCTGGTGCTTTAATAGTTCCTCCAGAGAAAAATTCTGTGCTGATATTGTTAATGAAGAAAACAACTGTGATAGTGCTATTGTTTCAGAAGAGGACACTCTGCTTGATGGGCAAAACTCCCATGAGGATGAAAATTTGAATAAAATCAGAAATTTGTTTATCACTAGCACAAAGAGAGGGGAGATACATAGTGGTGGTGAATCCGACCTAATTGGCTAGTATGTAATAAGCAAAAATCGTTGCCCCCAAAATAACTAGGGGCAGAACTGCATCCATTAAGCTAGTGTATATAATGTATCTAGAATCTCATAAAAGAACCCTGGGGGCAGACCCATGTGTTTCAAAAACCATTTATGGAAAACTCACAGTGTTACGTCAACTCGTACATCCAACAGAGCCTGCTAGTTTTGTCCCTGGTTCTCATACTCTCTTTCACGTTCCCATTTGGCAGGTTAAGGAATAGGGAAACGGGCGCCTGGCTGGCTTAGTCAGTAGAGCAAGTGACTCTTCATCTCAGGATTGTGAGTTCAAGCCCCACACTGGGCGTATTAAAAAAAAAAAAAAGTCAATGGTTTTATAAGTAATCTTTTCTACCTTTGAATGTTGGACCAGGTTGAAGGGTAGCTGGGGAGAGGAATCAGTCTTAGAGAAAGTCAGAGTTGAAACAAAAAATGGAGCATTTACCAGTAACTGAAGCATGGCCCAAGATGAAATCTTTTCCGTAAGAGGGAACTAGAAAACTCGATTGTTAAGGTTGAATACTTAGTGACTGACACATGAGGTATGAGGCTGAGGGGACTCTTTCGTTCTCACACTGACCTTCATCCTCGAAGGGTTTGTTGGTATCATCAGACGCAGACTCGGACCCTCAGGGGGGACACAGTGCAATTCTGTAGAGCGGTATGCCCTCCAGGAAAATCAGAGACAGCGATTCTGCCATTTTAGATTTCAAAGACAGAGCAAAGCTTTTTACCTCAGAAACTAATTTTCCTTATTCCATTTCTCCTCTCCCCTCCTTCCCCTCTCTCCTCTCTCCTCTTCCTTTGAGGTCTTCTTCCCACAGACGAGTGTATCCTTCAAGCAAGTGAAATTGGGCCTGCAGGCGAGCGGACCAAGACAGCTCTGTTCATCACCTCCTCCATTATGCTGGTGCTTCTGCTCGGGGCGGCGGTGATTGTCTGGAAGAAATCACGGGGCCGAGCCCAGCCAGTAGCAAAAGCCGGCTATGAGAAGCTGGCCGACCCTGGCAAGTCATATGTTTCCTATAAGAGCAGCCATCTTGAAAGCACCAGCTTTGAAGAAGATCAGGTCATTGAGTACAGGGACCAGGACTATGATGAGGAGGAGGATGATGACATCGTCTACATGGGCCAAGATGGCACCATCTACCGGAAATTTAAGTATGGGCTGCTGGATGATGATGAGGATGAGCTGGAATACGACGATGAGAGTTACTCCTTCCAGTAGACAGAGCCCTCCCCCACCTTCGACCCGCCCCATCCTGTCCCAGGCATTACAGTTTTGGGGTTTTAGTCCCACACACCAGGCTGATGTGTGGGTGTTTGTGTCCTCTTAACCCTGAGTCCAGCTAGAGCTAGTAAGAAATGCTGAATGATTGGTTCTTCTTTGGGGTGACTACATTCAATCGACCGTAACTGGGGAACAAGGATAAAATTCAGAGGGATTTTCCTCAAAATAATATGTCAAAATACAGAAGTGAAAAAAAAAAGTGAGATTTGTACAAACTGTTTCATGGGATTGAAAAAAAAAAAGCGGTGGGCCTATAGGAATTCTGTTTCTCAGCGATATTGCGGGGATATTTGCTGCCTTCTGGAATTCTGATATTTCTGTAAATGATTTTGGGGGGACAGGGAGAGGAAAGAGATTCTTGTTTGTCTTCGGGGATTTTTCTCCCCTGTGAGCTATCTGTAGGCAGAGGTTGGCTCTGTAAGGGCCAGCTAAAGAGGGCTCACCACCTCATGCCACTTATCACCCTGTTCCTCCCCAAAGAAAGAGTTGGAATGGATTCTAACATGGAAAAATCCCAACGTCCTGCTCACCAGCGTAACAACCCAGTTGCCCACCAGCCTTCCAAAGCTCTCTACCTCTGGGATCTGTTTTTAGACGTCCTAGGCTTCCCTTGGTCCACTCTCCTGTCCCATACACGCTTGGATTTGTGCACGAGGCACAGTTTTCTACAAATAGCAATCCAGAGGGAAGGGCTCTTACTGGGTGAAATTACATAGGCCGGGTTTTGCGGATTTCCTTGTCAAAGCAGAAATTACAGGCAATGTTAGGAGGGGATCGCAAGAAAATGACGTTTTCGGATGATAATGCTACTCAGAAAAAAATTTATTGCACACCTACTATGCGCTAGGTACTGAGCTAAATAATGCCTTTCAGGAAAAAATCAACCCACTTAATACCATGACTTCGTGAGGTTGGTACCATTATTGTTCTGTTTTTATAGGGAACCTCAGACTTCCTGAGAGGTTATGTAACTGGCCCAAGGTCACAGAAAGCTAAGCAAGATTCCTGGAAAAAGAATGACCCTAAAAGGCATATTCTTTTTTTTATTTAAAAAAAATTTTTTTTTCAACGTTTTATTTATTTTTGAGACAGAGAGAGACAGAGCATGAACGGGGGAGGGGCAGAGAGAGAGGGAGACACAGAATCGGAAACAGGCTCCAGGCTCTGAGCCATCAGCCCAGAGCCCGACGCGGGGCTCGAACTCACGGACCGCGAGATCGTGACCTGGCTGAAGTCGGACGCTTAACCGACTGCGCCACCCAGGCGCCCCAAAAGGCATATTCTTAATAACTATGCTAGACTGGCATAAAATAAAAAGGAACCTAAATATAGTAAAAGCATGTATATTATTTTATGATACGGCAACTCTATTACCTTTACGAAATCCATGCATTTTTCTTGTCTTTTAATGTAACGAATCACGGATACGGGAAATCTCTGTGAAGAAGTCTTCATTGTACTGAAGGCCTCAGTGTTGCTTTAGGGGAATATGCTCTTAAAACAAAGGTTGGCAAACTTTCTCTGGAAAGGGCCAGATAGTAAATACTTTAGGCTTTGCACGACAATCAACTCGGCCACATGGAACAAATGGGTGGGCTATGTTCCAATTAAACTTTATTTATGGACACTGAAATTCAAGGGAATTTTCATGTATCATGAAATTTTATTCTTCTTTTGATTTTTTTTTCCTTCCATCACTTAAAAACGTAAAACCGTTCTTAGCTCAGACTAGCCACCAGAGTGCAGTTTGCCGACCTCGTCTTAAAAATCTATTTTTAAGAGACCATGTGTATTAAACACACAGGATATGCCTCCACCATTTTTGACGATTTAAAACCATCTCTTCGGGGCGCCTGGGTGGCGCAGTCGGTTAAGCGTCCGACTTCAGCCAGGTCACGATCTCGCGGTTCGTGAGTTCGAGCCCCGCGTCGGGCTCTGGGCTGACGGCTCGGAGCCTGGAGCCTGTTTCCGATTCTGTGTCTCCCTCTCTCTCTGCCCGTCCCCCGTTCATGCTCTGTCTCTCTCTGTCGCAAAAATAAATAAACGTTGAAAAAAAAAATTAAAAAAAATAAATAAATAAATAAAATAAAAAAAAATAAAGCCATCTCTTCAAGATTTATTTGAAGCCCTGTTAGTTCCCTTTTCAATTCTTAGGGATTAAAAATAGCTGTAAGATAGCCATCATCATCAATGGAATCATTTCTTATCCCTCTGCTGTGTAATTATGGAGTGTAGCCTATGCAAATGAGTAACGTTGTTGATTCTGTGTTTTTCGTCTTCCCTGTTAATCCGAAAGCCCTGACAGAATGAGTTGGACGCGTCCTCGTGTAGCCTGGAAATAGTTTTCCAAGAAAAATCTGTGTTTATGATACACAGTTAACGACTAAATGAGGTTCGAAATAACCCTGAATACAAAGAAAAATTGTATTGTTACCTTATGTGAGCCGGAAAAAAAGGCTTGTGCTGTGCGTTGGTGCAGTTTGACGTGTTTCCTTTGTTCTTGATCATGCCACATTATCCTCAGGCTTCTTTTGAATACTATGCTAACGACTGTCTAAATAGATAAATAATGTGGTTGGAAAACACAGTCCCTTTTTGGTTTTCTGTTTGCAAATAACTTGGAAATATTAAGAGGATCCCTTATAGACTGGAAATGCACTAAGAGGCTGAGCAAGGGCTTGGAAAGTTCCAGTTCATAGAAAGTAATTTTAAAACTGGAAACAAACTTAAATCAAGACCAGACAATGCTATGGGCAATGGCTTGTTAACAGCCTATTTCTGGGCACTTTTTGTGTGATTGGTATTACGCTTTACCAAGTAAGAGACACAAAACAATGCTGCTTGTTAAGAGTGTTTCTTTTTCTCCTTTTTATCTTTCTACCTCCAATGACCGAAGCTAGTCAGAGCAGTTTTGAAGCTTCTTCCTAAAGATCAATCTGTCAGCCCCACCCTCACTGTTTCAGTTAGGCCCCCAGGCTCTCTCATCAGGGCCTTTCCTACTTCCTCTTGAATGCTGCTGAACTTCAGTCTTTCTCCCAATTTACCCTCCATCCCTCTATCAGAGATCCACCAGATCTTAGGTCCACCGGACCATCGCATTCAGGGATCCCCATCACCCACATGGACTATGACATTCAAAACTCTGCAAGATAGAGCCAATGCCTCTGTCACCCCCTAGTTCCTGCCCCTCCTTATTTCCCAGGTACTCCATACTTCTTTTTTTAAGCTTATTTATTTTTGAAAGAGAAAGCACACACATGTTCGTGTGCAGGGGAGAAGTAGAGAGGGAGAGAGAATCCTAAGCAGGCTCCACGCTGTCAACACAGAGCCCAACATGGGACTTGATCCCATGAACCGTGAGATCGTGATCGGAGCCGAAACCAAGAGTCGGACGCTTAACCGACTGAGCCAGGTGCCCCAGATTCTCTTCTTCTCACTTCTCTGGGATAACATCCTCTCATCTCACATTCTTGGGCACACACAGTTCATTCCTTGGAATATTCTTCCCTCACCTTGACCAATTGGAAGATTTCCGACCATCTTTTAAAATCATGTTCACTTCACTTATAACCTCTCCTGGAATGTCTTGAGGATGAATCACTTTCTTACCTCTCTTCTACCTAGGTACTCTGTGCATATAGTTTTTCACATCACATTGTGATGTTGCCGTTTGATTGTACATCTGTATTTACTAAAAGAGGGGGCAGCTGCTTGATTCCTTGAAGTGGCTACTATTTCCTTTCCAGAACCTAGCACAGTGCCCAGAATGTGATGAACAGTCAAGAACTCTTGGTGGAATTGAATTTTTTTTTTTTTAATTTTTTTTTTCAACGTTTATTTATTTTTGGGACAGAGAGAGACAGAGCATGAACGGGGGAGGGGCAGAGAGAGAGGGAGACACAGAATCGGAAACAGGCTCCAGGCTCCGAGCCATCAGCCCAGAGCCTGACGCGGGGCTCGAACTCACGGACCGCGAGATTGTGACTTGGCTGAAGTCGGACGCTCAACCGACTGCGCCACCCAGGCGCCCCGGTGGAATTGAATTTTAAGAAGATAGGACTCACATACACGAAACGACCAGACAGTGAGAATGGTCCTGGAGTGCAGTGTTAAGTGGAAAGGAGGAGGAGAAGTATTGTCCGTTAAGCATGAGAAAGACCAGATAACTCAAATTAGAGCCTGCTGGGGATGGTTTCATGGGGGGATTTGTGTGTGGACCTGATCTGAAAAAGAAAAGGGGATGTAGAAGATATTCCTCAAAATAGTCACTGGAATCAGTAAGTTGCTGATCTGACTTTCATGATAATAGTGGTAACAATATTAACCCACCAAGTATGTGTTAAGCATTAACCATGTACCAGGCACTGTTCTAGATACAGCACAGACCTGTTCTGTCTACAGAATATATCTGTATCTGGAAAATACCAGCAAGTGAAACGAATCAGATCTTGAGTCTTAAGGAACTTGCAATCTAGTTGGGGAGAAAAACATAAATCATAACACCACAACTACAACTTTTGATGCCTTCTATGTGCCAGGCACGGTCGGTCATAGGCACTTTTCTCCTGTAATTCTATTTCATCCTTATGACACAAATGCTATAGAGCAGTAATATGATTCCTCTTTACGAATGGATACTCAGGGTGCTCTCAGAGTGTTTATGAGTGGTCCACCTGGGATTTGAATCTAGGACTTTCTAGTCCATATTCTTTCTGCTGTACCACTCTGCTTCTGCCTGAAGAATGAACCTCGCCTCTGTCCAAAATCCCTGGATCTCTCTCATTTGGAAATTAGTTTTAGCTGAATGGAATTTGCCATAATAACGAACCACCAGAAGGTGATGCCACTGAAGCATGGATGAAAGCCTGCAGTTAAGGTGTATCATCCCAGCTAGAGGCACAGTGTTGAGGGTCAAGGATGAAAGAAATTATTTTAGGTAATTGTGAACATTATATACACACACACACACACACACACACACACACACACACACATATATTTCAACATATTAAAACCGAAGATATGGGGCACCTGGGTGGCTCAGTTGGTTAAGCATCCAATTCTTGATTTTGGTTCAGTTTGTGATGATGTGGTTTGTGAGATCGAGCCCCACATTGAGCTCTGCGCTGACAGCACAGAGCCTGCTTGGGATTCTCTCCCTCCCTCTCTCTCTCTGTCTTTCCCTGGCTCACATACACGTGCTCTCTCTCTCTCTCTCTCTCTAAATAAACTAAAAAAAAAAACAAAAACAAACAAAAAAACCCTCTGAAGATAAAGACATAGGTCCTTACTACATACATTTGACATTGGAATAGACGTTTCAAGATCTGTTCAGAGTTAAGAAGGTCTGCTTCAGAGCTCATGAAAAAAAGAAACTGTACAATGTCCTACCCAAGCTTAGATGTCATCAACTAAAATAATTAGGAGTCTGCATTTCATATCAAATGTAACAAGTGTAAACAGATTGTGTTTCAAAAAGAAACATAAGAATTTCGTCAATGCGTGCCTGGCAGACTTTGAATCTAACTGATCACTACATAACAACATCTGATAAGGCATAAATGTGACCAAAATTTAAGGATGTGTTTGGGGCTTCACATTTAAAGCCACCTACGCCTACCTCACATCGTTCTCAAAGTAGGCCAAAATACGCAAAAACAACGAAAAAAGTCCTAAAGATGAAGCAAGGTAAGAGGGATGACGTCTGTTCTGTTTACTTCTATTGCCTTAGTGACTAATACATCCAATGGTACAAAGGTACGTATCTGTTGAGTGACTACAGGTATAAAAAATAATTGCAGTTGCCTTCTGAGCTAAGGATATATGGCAGAACTAGGTCCCGTGGTCACACTTAGCTGTAAGGAAGGCTTGAA